CAGTGGTGGCAGGAATGACACATTCTATCTAGAGCATGTGGAGATGGAGATCCGTGTGGAAATCCAGTGGGATGCCTTGAGAAGGGCCTGTGTGAGGACCGGAGCACAGGAGGGTAGGGTGTAGTGGTGAAGAGAACACTTAGAATGAAACCCACACCCCTAACCATGATCACAATTAAGTATTTTAATTGGTGAAGTAAAAAGAGGGGACAACTGTTATTAACTCTGCTTTTACTGATGGCAAAACACTTAATGTCTTTGGGTCTCAGAATCTTTATCTGCAAAACAAGGAGAGTAGAACAGATATTTGAAAGGCACCATTGGGGGTTCTCTTTATATTTTCTTAAGAACCATGTATGGACTATTATATAAATGCTATCAGCAGGTAATCTGGAAATTTACCTAAATGACCACAAGGAGAGCCTAATTTCACATTAAGTTATTTATTACAATGTAAACTCAAAGTACTTGCTATATGAAGTTGGTGATATGCTGTCTCATTTCTACTTCCTCATGGAAATTGAGGGAAGTTGACAACTAGATACAGTTTTAACTGAATTAAAATGTGGTTTTGTATTGCTAAAATTATAATAAAGTCACTAAATGTAAAAATATTTTTGTATTCACCAATAATCCTCTGTGAAGGAATTTAGATGACCTTTTAATTAAATGAAGACAGTAGAATTTTAAAATTTACCCTGGTATGATTTTTACTTCAAATAACATTATTTCAGTTATCTTTCAAAAAAAACTATAACTTTTCTGAAAGTCCTTGGTTACTCTGAAAGAAGCATAAAGTCATCAATATGTCAGTTTATTGTAAAGATCCATATCAAAACAAAAGAATTAGAATAGTGCTGGTCACACATTTAAGTATTACATGTTCATTAAATATGTTTATATATTTATTGTTATATAAATATTGAATGTTATATGTCGGTGTTAAAATGTTCATTTTCTCTTCGGGTTAACTTTCGTACTCTGTTTTTTTATAAAGTTTTATTGTAAGGAAACTACAACGCTCTTTGGGTTGGGAATTACTTTATGAGTCTTCCTAAGGTTTGATGAGTAACGTTTTTTGGACTTGATCAAATTAAATTATATTTGTAGGGTATAAATATAATATTTCTGTATTTTATCACATATTTCCAAACATATGCAGCTAAGTGAGTGTTATTTCCTTTAAAGACATAATATTAGTGAGCTATATAGGAATCTCAATAATGCAACTGTTACTGGAAACATATTTGAGTTTCCCTGTAGAGGCAGGATCACATTCTTTAAATATGTTAAGTGACAACAGATTTTTCTTTGAGAGTGAGGACAATATTTAAAACCAAACATATGTATGAACAAATATTGAATATTAAGTCACAAATAGAGTTAGAGTATACATTTTGGGGGGGCCAAAGAGCTAGATTTTAGTAAAATATTTATGTTACCTTTGATTTATAAACATCTTTAACTTATCTGCCATAAAGGAGTCACAAAATATTTTCAGCAATGATGTCACTGGAATGAGTATAAACCCTCCTAAGGTGACTACTAGGAAGGGTACCTTTCACTTGGATCAACTCATTCTGGTGTGTTCACTAAGATAAATAAATAAATATACAAGTAGCTTAATTGGTTTATAGTCACTTTTTGTTTATTTTCCAGTTATTTTCACACTTGAGGCTTCTAAATTCTTTAAGTGAATGTGAAATAACAGTGTACTAAATCAGTAATATTATTTAGAAATTTTCTATAACTTCTTCCAAAATGACTCAGATTTTTACTGTTTTATCTTTGGGTTAATGAATTAATTTTCTATCAATATTTCTCACACCAGAAAGTATTATAGACCAATAAAAGATCTATGCTAGGCAATGTGGAGAATGCAGATCTTCCTGCTGCTTGTATATTCAGTGACTAGCACAGTGCTTGGCCCCCAAGTAAATACTTACTGACACATATTTAGTAAATACTAGTTTCATAGATGAATGAAAAAATGATATGAAATTACACATATAATTATTATATATAATAGAAATTATGTATACATTAAATGTTATGTGTAATATTATTCCTGTTACTTATGTATACAATATTATTCCTGTTACGTATATATTATTGTCCCAGACTGCTGATAATCATCCACCCAAGACTTAGTGGCTTAAATCAACAACAATCACTAATGTTCCCAACTCTGTAATTTGGACAGGGCTCAGTGGGAACAGCTTCTCTTTTGACTACTTCACGCAGGGTCAGCAGGTCTGGCTTGAAACCCAGGCTGGCTGGGAGGCTGGAGTCTGGAAGATTCCCTGAAGTTTCACTCATTCACATGTCTAGTGGTGCTATACTGGCTGTTGGCTGGGACCTCAGCTGGGGATGTCACCTGCTTAGATTGCTGACAGCATATTGCTTAGGTTCCGAGAGCTAGCATTCAAGTAATCTAGGCAAAGTGCATGGCATTTTTGTGACCTAGTCTTGGAGGTCGCATGAGATCACTTCTGTTGTACTCTCTGGTTGAGGCAGTCACAGAGGTCAGTGTGATTTCAGAGGCAGGGGATATAGAAGCCACCATGCGGTGGAGGAATGTTAAGGTCGCGTTGGAGGAAGGGCATGCGGATGGGGTATATTGCAGTGTACATCCAGTTTTGGAAAATATAACCTGCTGTATTTTATATGTATAAATACATAATTTTATTTATAAACTACTACTATACACTAGGTAACTTTAGAAAATACTGTTCCCAAACAAAATCACCTGCTAAAGGGAATCTATCTGATCCAATGAACTTGTCATGTTCGCTTTCTCCTTACTGTTTTTGTTCATTCACTGTTCTCTTAAATATGGCCCTCTGCCCTCCCAGACCTCTCCCCACATCCATTCAAAGCCTAGACCAAGGCTTGCTTCTCTATTAAGTCCTCCCTCCC